TCTCTCTGGCTCTTTGAGCACCAGGGCCCATGGAGCCTGTCTGGGGGTCGTTTGAAATGGTGGAAACTTGACAAAGGCCTAGATGGGCAGGTGAGACCCACTCGGCCTCCAGGTACCGCCCTCCTCGAGGTCCCTGCTGTCCATGCGGGTGGCAGCCCTGCTCTGTGGGTGAGTCCCAGGGCCACTCGTGGCCGGAGGAGGCTGAATGGGGCGAATTTGGAGAAAAGTGGCAGTTTTTTTGTTTTTTTGTTTTTTGTTTTTTTTTTTTTTTGAGACAGGGTCTCACTCTGTCGCCCAGGTTGGAGTGCGGTGGTGCAGTCTCAGCTCACTGCAACCTCTGCCTCCCGAGCTCAGGGGATTCTCCTGCCTCAGCCTCCCAAGTAGCTGAGATTACAGGTGCCTGCCACCATGCCAGGCTAATTTTTTGATTTTTTATAGAGATGGGGTCTCACCTTGTTGCCCAGGCTGGTGGACGAAAGAGAAAAGTATTTTAGAGATTTAAAAAAAGAACCATAGGTGTAGGTTCTGACGCACTTCAGAGCTGCAGGTGGAGCTGTTTGCGTTCCTCCTGAAGGCTTCGGCTCCCGGACGTGGCTGGGCTGCAGAGACTGGCTTTACTAAGAGGTTTCCCCTCCCTGCCATCCAGGTGTGTCCACAGGTGTCCACACAACCAGGTGTGGTGAATGTCTTTTCACACCAAGTGGGCTTCTCAGTGACCCCCTGGCCACACCCCCATCTCACCCATCCCAGGAGCTCCTGGGATCACACACAGGAGTCGGGAGCTTAACAGAAACAGAAGCACGACCGGGCGCGGCGCTCACACTGGTAACCCCAGCACTTTGGGAGGCCGAGGCAGACAGATCACCTGAGGTCAGGAGTTTGAGACCAGCCTGGCCAACATGGCAAAACCCCATCTCTACAAAAAAAAATACAAAACTTAGCCGAGCGTGGTGGAGGGTGCCTGTAATCCCAGCTACTCAGGAGGCTGCTGCAGGAGAATCGCCTGAACCCAGGAGGCAGAGATTGCAGTGAGCCGAGATCACGCCACTGTACTCCAGCCTGGGGGAAAAGGGCAAGACTTCGTCTAAAAAAAACGAAACAAAAAACAACCAGAAATGCATTCGCCCTTGGTCTGGAGACTGGAAGTCTGAGATCAAGTTGTGGGCAGGACCTCACTCCCTCGGAGACCTGCAAGGGACCCTCTTTCCCCTGCAGCTTCTGGGGACCCCAGCCATCCTGAGCCCATGGCTGTGTGTCTCCCACCTCTGCCCCCGTTGCCACACAGCCGCCTTCGCCCTGTCTCCTATAAGGACTGCGGTTGTATGGGATGAGCGTCCGCCCCCATATTAATGACCTCATCTTAATCATATCTGCAGCAACCCTGTTTCTAAGGTCATGTTCTGAGATACGCTGGGGCTGAGATTTCAGTATAACTTTTGGGGATTCAGTTCCCCCCATTAACACTGATGAACTGTGACTTATTTAACTAAATCTGTTGTTCCCACTATCTCACCCACAATTTTAAATTTGTGTAATGGGTTATAGCCATAATTATTTCCTTAGGATAAACTGTTACAAGTGGAATTGCTTGGCCGTGATCTTTTGTTTTGTTTCGTTTTGTTTTAGTGACAGGGTCTCACCCTGTTGCCCATGCTGGAGTGCAGTGGTGTGATCATGGCTCACTGCAGCCTCAACCTCCTGGCATGAAGTAATCCTCCTACCCCAGCCTCCTGAGTAGTTGGGACCACAGGTGCACACCACCACACCTGGCTATTTTTTCTTTTTTAGAGGTGGAGTCTTGCTGTGTTGTCCAGGCTGGTCTCGAACTCCTGGCTTTAAGTGATTCATGCCTTTTTTTTTTTTGACAGAGTCTTGCTCTGTCACGCAGGCTGTAGTGCAGGGGCGCAATCTTGGCTCACTGCAACCTCCACCTCCTGGATTGAAGCAATTCTTCTGCCTCAGCCTCCCAAGTAGCTGGTACAGGTGCCCGCCACCATGCCCAGCTAATTTTTGTATTTTTAGTAGAGATGGGGTTTCATCACGTTGGCCAGGCTGGTCTCGAACCCTAACCTTGTGATCCACCTGCCTCGGCCTCCCAAAGTACTAGGTTTACAGGCGTGAGCCACCGCGCCCAGCCCCATGATTGCCTTTTAAGATAGGATAGCTGCACTTTCACTAAGAGGTTGGCCAACTCCAGCCCATGAGTCAAATGTGGACCCACCTGCGGAGCTTTTATTGTTATTCAGACGGAGTCTCGCTCTGTCGCCCAGGCTGGAGTGTAGTGGCGCAATCTCGGCTCACTGTAAGCTCCGCCTGCTGGGTTGAAGTGATTCTCCTGTCTCAGCCTCCTGAGTAGCTGGGACTACAGGCGCCCACCAACACGCCCGGCTGAATTTTTGTGTTTTTAGTAGAGACGGAGTTTCACCGTGTTAGCCAGGATGGTCTCGATCTCCTGACCTCGTGATCTGTCCGCCTCGGCCTCCCAAAGTCCTGGGATTTCTAATGTGAGCCACTGCTTCTGGCTCACCACCTGCTGTTTTATAAACCCCTAAGCCAGGAATGGGTTTTATAATTTTAAATTGTTCAAAAAAACTAAAGAATATTTTGTGACCTGAAAAATTATATGAAATTCAGATGTTGATGAATAAAGTTTTATTGGCACACAGCATGCACGTCTGCTCGAATGCTGGCTGTGGCAGGGCTAAGGGGCTGTGACAGCCCCATACGGCCCACAAAGCTGAAAAGATTTGCTGTGAGGCCCTTTACATAATGTGTTTGCTGATGCCAGCTCTAAATATCTATATTTGCATTCAAATTGGTTTCAAAAATAAATATACAGCTGGTCCTGAGAACGTGGTGGTGAATGCAGCTGAGCTGGGCCGGTGAACGTGGTCATTGTGTTTAAAATGTGGTGTCCTTGCCAGGTATTGTGTGTTTGTGCTGCTGAAGCTACTGAAGGTGGGCTATAGAGGGCAGGGGCCCAGGCAGGCACAGGCACTTAACTGATGTCTTGGTTGGTGCCTGGAGCACCTTAGGCAGGAATATGTCCTTGGGGAAGGAAGACAGGCCAGGTGGAGGGGCCTCACGGTGTTGGCTTGCCCCAGGCTCCTGCTGAGGTGGGCGCTCAGGGAGACGGCTGGAGGATCTGAGGAGAGCCAAAGCCCCAGGTGGTGCCCTCCCCTCCTCCTAGAGCAAAGTCCGGGCACACTGCCTGTTTAAAAGCACTTTTTTCTTTTTTTTTTTTTTTTTTTTGAGATGGAGTCTCACTCTGTCGCCCAGGCTGGAGTGCAGTGGCCAGATCTCAGCTCACTGCAAGCTCCGCCTCCCGGGTTCATGCCATTCTCCTGCCTCAGCCTCCCGAGTAGCTGGGACTACCGGCGCCCGCCACCTCGCCCGGCTAGTTTTTTTTTGTAGTTTTAGTAGAGACGGGGTTTCACCGTGTTAGCCAGGATGGTCTCGATCTTCTGACCTCGTGATCCGCCCGTCTCGGCCTCCCAAAGTGCTGGGATTACAGGCTTGAGCCACCGCGCCCGGCCTAAAAGCACTTTTTTCAACAATACACATTGCGAAGTTAGAAGAATTTTTTGGTGAACACTGGCCCTGCCACTCACCCCCGGAGTTTGCCGTGGGCATTTGCTGTGCTGGCGCCATCACCCCGGCATCACCCTGCCTCCGTGCCTCCTGCCCTGTGCTCACCCATCCTCCTGCTTGGGCCTTTTATTGTAAAAACAGAACGTCAAATTGACCATGACAGCCACCTTGAAGTGCGCCACTCAGGCACTCAGTACATTCACAGCGTGGTACTTCCATCCCTTCTACCTACTTCCGAACATTCCGTCCCAAGAAGAAACCTGTACCCAGCAGCAGGCCCTCCCCAGCACCCACCCCTAGCCCCGGCAGCCCCTCAGCCACCTCCTGCCTCTGCAGGCCAGCCTGTTCCAGAGGCTTCCCATGAGCAAATCACAGCCTGTGTGGCCCTGGTGTCTGCTTCCTTCCCTCGCGTGGAGCTTTCCAGGGCCGTGCACCAGGCGGGACGCCCTTCCTGTTGATGGCTGGGTGGTGTGCCGTGGTACGTGCATGCGTTTCCCCAGTCATAACACGTTACCACCGGCCGGGTGGCCTGAGACAGCAGAAATGGATTCTTGCTGGATTCTGGAGGCCAGAAGTGCAAAATCAAGGTGTCAGCCAGGCCCCCCCGTCTGAGTCTCTCGAGGAGGGTCCTTGCTGTTCCCTGGTTGGTGGCTGCACTGCTCCAGTGTTGGCCTCGGCCTTCACCCGGCATCTCTACTGCACATCTGCATCTCTAACTCCCAGTCACAGGATTGAGGGCCCACGCTGGTCCAGCGTGACCTCATCTTAGCTCGCTACATCTGCAAAGATCCTACTTCCAAATGCAGCCACACCCTTGTAGTACACGCGGGCCACACTTTGTCGTCCACCGATGGGCGCTTGGGGTGCTCCTGCCTTTTGGCCACTGAGTCGCGCTGCCCTGGACGCTCGTGTGCAGGTCTGTGTGTGGACATAAGTTTCAGTGTCTCAGGTGTACAGCTAGGAGTGGAATTGCAGCGTGGAACTGCAGGGCCACACAGCAACTAGGCTTTTCGGGGAGAGTTACCGCTCGACTTTGAAATCTAGGTTTGTACAGACATACGAGGGCCTGTGTGCGTATGTTGAAAAGAGATGCACATGTTAGAGGCCATCTCCTTGCGAGCATGCAGATGCTGGTGTCAGGCTGGGAGGAGGCAGACGGACGCGTTCCCCACGTGAGGACCAAGCAGAAGTGGAGGCAAAAGCCAGCGTGGGCTGACCGTGGAGTGGCCCCATTGTGCACGCACGCAGGCGCTGCTGGGGTTTAGCCAAGCTCTGCCGCTGGCTGGGGCACAGGGTGGCGCTGGCTCCCACAGTCCCCAATACGCTCTTGGCACCACGGACAGCTCCCCAAGCCAGACGCACCAGCTGCAGAAGGTGCTCATTCCTCCTCCCCATGCTCTTCCCTGCAGATGGGATGGGGCGACCTCGGGGTGTACGGAGAGCCCTCCAGAGAGACCCCGAATTTGGACCGGATGGCTGCAGAAGGGATGCTTTTCCCAAACTTCTATTCTGCCAACCCTCTGTGCTCACCATGTAAGTCAGCGGGGCCCTCATCCCCAGAAAGGGGTGAGCCCAGCAGGCTGAGGCCTCCCAGGTCCTTCCAGCCCTGACTCTGGGCGGCCACATCAACCTTGTCTACTACTACTACTGCAGGGAGGGTGGCAGGTGGGCTCAGGCCTTTCTCATCAGGTCCCAGCCCGGCTCCATGCTGTGTGGGGTGCGGCACCTGCTGGGTTTTCAGGGTCAAAGTTGCAGTGTTGTTGGTGGCTGCTGTCCTCTGTTTCCCAGAGTCGAGTGCTGTGGCCGCCTGGGGAGAGGCGCTGCAGTGTGGCTGTGTCTCAGGGTACCGGGGAAGCGGGGGTCCCGCTTCCTCCCTCCCCAGGGAGAGTCTCTCCTGCCAGAGACGACACGTGGTGTTGATCATGAGGAAGAAGGGAAGGCAGGGTACGGGCCGGCACTCGAGGACGGAGGTGTGTGGACCTGCACACCCAGTGGGTGTCCCGGGAGCCTGGGAGAGGAGACAGCGTCTTGGGGACAACGCTGAGCTGCAGGGCCCAAGGGCCGCGTGTCTTTCAGTGCATTGGGTGCTGTCCCTCACCCAGGTGGTGGAGATGCTAACAGGGATTGACCGGTGTGGCAGCCCCTCGTAAACCTGCGTCTGCCTCATCTGTCACGCGTCCGCCTAGTGGTGGGGCTCTTGCTGACGGGCGTGTGGGTCTGAGCTGCACCCTTCTCATCCAGTTTCTGTTTCTGTCACCTCCTCATAGCCAGGGCGGCACTGCTCACGGGACGGCTGCCCATCCGCAATGGCTTCTACACCACCAACGCCCATGCCAGAAACGGTAGGCTGCCTGCCGCCACCTCCAGGGACCACCTCGGTGCAGGGTTGGGCAGGTGCCGTCTGGGTGGTGCCCGGGTCTCCGGGACTCAGGTGAAAATGAGGGCTCCCCTAGCTGGTGTCCTTCCCTGCCCTGGCCCAGTGGGGACAGAGCAGAGGGTGCCCAGTCTGGCCTAAGGAGCTGGGCTGGCACCCCCACCCCAGAAGCTCCCACTCTCCAGGCAGGTGAGCCGCACACTTACAGAGAAACTGGGGCTGTGGTGTCAGCAACAGTTCTGGAATGTTCTGGAATTGCTGTGCTCGAGGGGTTTGGATGGGCTCCCCAGGGGCATCTCATAGGGGAAGTGGGATTTCCAGTGGCCTTTGAGGAAAGGGAAGGACAGGGGAGGCCGGGGTGGGGCAGAGAAGTGTCATGTGGCGTATTCCAGAGACCCCTGGAGATCAGGCAGGCGGGAGGCTGGCCTAAGAGGCAGAATAGAGGCCCAGGGCAGGCAGGAGGCCCAGGGAAGGCGCTGGGGGGCACAGAGTCTGCTCTGTGCCCGCCCTCTGGTGATGGCACTGGCTCTGGGGGTGCCTGGAAAAATCTGGGAAGTTCCATGCCCTGTAGATGCACAGTCCCCAGGCCCAGCCTTTGACCCCGAGGGGCCAGTGTTCTATTAGGATGTGTGGACGCAGCCCCCAGTGTCCTGTTAGGATGGGGGTGGTGGCAGCTTCTCAGGGTCTCCTCGGGGCTCACCCAGCGCTGCTCTTCCAGCCTACACGCCGCAGGAAATTGTGGGCGGTATCCCAGACTCGGAGCAGCTCCTGCCGGAGCTTCTGAAGAAGGCCGGCTACGTCAGCAAGATCGTCGGCAAGTGGTGAGTGTCCGGCCATGCCTGCCCGAGCGTCCTGCTCCACCCGCTTCCCGGCCTTGGTTCCAAGGGACGTGGCCACAAGTTTCCAACGAAGAAGGCGCCTTGGGTGGAAAACGGAAGCTGATTCTGGGTGTGTTCAGGTGTCTCCAGCGTCCCTGTGCAGGCCGGCATGACCTTGCCAGCAGGATCTCAGGTCACCAGGCTGGGCCCGCAGCTGCAAGTGTCTTGCAGCATCAGACTCCACAGGCCTGTCGCTGTCCCTCGAGTCATGGCCCCCACGGCCCCCAGCATCCGTCACCACCGCCCCCTGGCTGCCTCTTGCCATGTCGTCCTTGGAGGGGTCACGTAGTTACACGTAGAAGCCGTGGCGGAGGAGCTGCCTGTCTGCCCCAGGGGCCTGTTGGATGATGAAAGCTCTGGTCTAAACCACAAAGGAGCCTCCAGGAAGGAGAGGAACAGCCCAGCAGCTGACGAAATCCTAACCCAACGAGAGCTCGGGTGCCGCACAGCCCCCAGGCCGCAGTTTCAGGCGCACGGGATGTTTCATTTCTTTTCCTCCCTGGGATGCCTGCGTGAGCCTGGAGGGTTGGGTGGAGTCACCTGCCCCGGGCTGCTCTCCGAGCCTGGAGGGTTGGGTAGAGTCACCTGCCCCGGGCTGCTCTCCGAGCCTGGAGGGTTGGGTAGAGTCACCTGCACCACGCTCCGAGCCAGCCCGGAGGGTTGGATGGAGTCACCTGCCCTGCGCTGCTCTCCAGCTGTTGGAGTGTTCCCCGCCTGTCGGGCCGCATGCCTTCTCCTTCAGGAAGCCCTCGCTGCTTTCCAGCCTCTGTGATCCCCGGTCGGCTGCCTGTGGCTCCTGCTGGCCCGTTTGGGGTGGATGCTCCTTGGATATGGATGGTCGTGGCAGCCAGGAATCTGCTGAGCTTGATGATTAGATGGGGAGGACCCGGAGGCTGCCTAGGGAGCGCTTTGTCCCTCTTCAGATGAGAGGAAGCAGCCTGCCGAGCTGAGCTCTCAGAAATCACGGGGCGGAGCCGATGGGCACAGCAGCCGCGGAGTCCTCACACAGGGAGGTCAGGGCCCACGCGCCCTGCGTAGTCACTGAGCCAGTGCCAGGGGCCATCTGGGAAGTCAGCCCCCGAGGTTCACTGGAGCGTGACAGGGCTGTGCCAAGAGGAGGAAGAGCCGGTGGCGTCTCCAAGTGACAAGCCCCACAGTGACTGGAGCTCTCCACCTGGCCTGGCAGCTCTGTCTTGGGCCCAGCGGCCTCCTGTGCATGGTCATTGGTGCAGGTGGCAAGAGCTAGACAGGGAGTGGGTCTCCACAGAGGCCTCGAGGCTCCTGAACAGCCATCGGCGGGAGAAAGGGGACCCCGAGGAGTGGGAGCAGGAGCCAGGCAGGTCCCAGAGCCACAGGCTCCTCCCGGGCTCAGGACATGGTGCAGTGACTGGATGGCCCGGGCTGGGTCCTGCAGTGGCTGCTCGGTCAGGTGGGGGGTCCCCATCCCAGCAGGGTCCCCTCTCAGGGCAGTAGGGTGTTGTCAGCCGTAACTCAGACTTCCCTGAGGCCCCTCGCCTGGACTCAAAAAGAGGCTGCTTGATCCTCCTGCAGCCACGCAGGGGTGCAGGGCAAGGACCTGAGTCCCAGAGGGCTGCAGACGTTCCCCGCTCCAGGTCACCTGCTGGCGAGTGCCAGGCTCCACTGCTGCTTTGGGACAAGCACATCGAGCTGACAGCTTAATCTGTGTGGCGTCCTGCCCGTGTGCTTCCCCTGAGCAAGGCCTTTGCACTGCAGTCGTGGATGCATGAGTGTCCCCTGTGGCTGGGCAGTGACCTGCGACGTGGACGCACGAGTGTCCCCTGTGGCTGGGCTTACCTGCAGTCGTGGATGCATGAGTGTCCCCCTGTGGCTGGGCAGTGACCTGCGACGTGACGCACTAGTGCCCTCAAAGCTGGGCAGTGACCTGCGACGTGACACGAGTGTCCCCCTCGTGGCTGGGCGGTGACCTGCGACGTGGACGCACGAGTGTCCCCTGTGGCTGGGCGGTGACCTGCGGATGTGGACGCACGAGGACCCCCGTGGCTGGGTGGTGACCTGTGACGTGGGCGCACAAGTGTCCCCTGTGGCTGGGCGGTGACCTGCGCTGGGTGTTCAGCGATGATGGGGTGCTCTGGCAGTGGGCCCAAGTGCTGAAGACCCGAAGGAAACAGCCCGGAGTTGGCAGCCAAAGGAGCTCTGAGGTCACAGAGAGGTCCATGTGTGCTTACCTGAGAGAGGAGATGGAAGAGGCAGCTCAGGAGGTTCTGGGTGCAGAGGCCATGTCCAGGGAGGCAGCCACTACAGAACCAGCCAGAGCCTCAACTACAGCCATGCCAGCCTCCTCGCTCACAAACAGGGAAACCAAGGTCCAGACAAACGGGCTTACGCAGTGTCCAGGCTCTGTTGCTGGCTGGGTTTCATCCAGCCTCCACCTTCCAGCCTGGCCTTTCTTCAGGGCCCCTTCTGACCCTCCCCCAGCCAGTGACCGAGTGAATCCACAGTGGCCTGAGACCTGTGTGCCGGGTGCAGAGTCGCCCGTGAGCACTCAGGCGGGGCCCTTCCCGCCCCCTCCGCCAGGGCCAGCCCAACATGCGGCTCAGAAATCTGCTTCGGGGATGCTGCTTTCAAAGCCGTAGCTGCAGAAGATTTTCCTCAGGTGACACGCAAGTGACGTGAGACCCGCCCGCGGCCGTGCCTAGAAGCCACCTTATACCACCTCTCCTGCAGCCCGTTCTGAAGAGCAGCCGCAAGCTGGATTCCTTCCAGGACAAAAGAGGCCGTGCGAGGAAACCCGGACAGCTGGCCTGGGGACGGGCGAGTGGGCGAAGAGGTGTGGCCTGCAGGACTACTGTGGACTGGCGGACAAGAGATTAGGTGCCCCCAGAGGGAAGGCGCATGTGGGTCTGTAGGGGGTCGTCAGAAGGGGAGTGCAGGGCGGGGTCTGGAGGGTTGCTGGGCCTGGGGTGTGATGCCTGGCGATGGCCATTCCGAACAGGTGAACCCTGGTCCCAGGAGAGCAGTTGGTGGAGGTCACCAGTGTGGCCACACTGCCACGTTCTCTTGTCATCAATCCCCGCCTCTGCCAGGGCCCTGGGAATGTGGGTGCAGCTGGCAGGCCCCAGGGCTCCTGCACGGCACACAACGCCCCGCCCAGCCGTCGTCCCGGGACCTTTGCCCTGAACTGGGAGACAAGACTGAGTGCCTCGGTGTGGAGAGACCCAGTAATTACCTGGCAGGAGATATTTTCTGCCCTGGAAAACCCAGAGGAGAAGCACTTGGGTTCGAGACACAAGCTGTGAAACTTTCCTGGGAGTTCAGGAAAAGTGGAAGGAAGGAGCCGGGGCCCCAAGGGGCACGTCAGGCGGGTTCCAGGCGGCTGAGAGGCTCCTCACGATGCACCGCCCTTCACGGTGCTGGGAACCCCGGCCACCACTGTGCCTGCCACCCTTGGTTGTGCCCAGACACTCTGTGGGGGAGGCGGGCGGTGCCAGCACCCTCCTCGGGGTGAGGCTTTGGTCTTTTGTCCCTGCCATGCCCAGGCATAGCCTATACTCAGTGCTGGAGGGTGCTCATCTTACCAAGAATTTTGTGAAGCTGGTGGATCTGTTGCTCAGAATTTCAGAGTGTCCCCATGTGGGGTCCCTGAAGTGTCCTGGGTTCCTGTTTCCAGGCATCTGGGTCACAGGCCCCAGTTCCACCCCCTGAAGCACGGATTTGATGAGTGGTTTGGATCCCCCAACTGCCACTTTGGACCTTATGACAACAAGGCCAGGCCCAACATCCCTGTATACAGGGACTGGGAGATGGTTGGCAGGTAATGGAGCCCCACCCCTTCCCCTCCCACGTCCTGAACTGCTGCGCCCGGCGTGCCTGCCCCCCGTCTCTAGCACTGGTGGCCTCAGGCCGCTGCTCACGAGGGCTGGGCTGTCCCCGGGTCCCCAGGCACCGAGGGCTTTGGTTTGGGGGCTTCTGTCACCAAGTTTTGCCCCAGAGCCTGTGAGACTCACACCTGGGGTTTCCCACCTTTTCAAGGTCGTAGATCCCTTTAGCTGTCCTGAGAGAGGAAGGCCCCCAGCAGAGTGAGCCCACACAGTCTGTCCTAGCTGTCAGGGTACTGCCCATGTGGTCCACGGGTGGGGAGGCTGGCTGTGCTCCAGACGTCCAGGGACATGGGCAGGACAGGAGGTGGGACGAAACCCCACTGGGAGCCACACTAGGAGCAAAAGCCGCTGTCCGGACAGAGCCGTCCTGGTGCCTGGGAATGGGGGCAGCACCTCTGGACACGGCAGCACTGGGTCAGGGACCCTCATCTTCTGTGAATTTTATTTTGCTTAATTTGACTCTTCTTGGCGGAAGCGCTCATTGGTTACGTGGCGGTGGACCAGAAGTGGCACCAGCTTGCTGCCTTTTTCTAGATAGAGCTCCTTGGAGGTGTGGGAGTCGCCCCGCGCAGCCCCCATTTGAAGTGTGCAGTTCTGTGGTTTGCAGTAGTCGCAGGCTGGGACAGCCCGCACTGCAGCCGCTTCAGAACAAGCCCCGTGGCCTAAGTGGTGGCTCCCCAGCCCCAGTCTCAGCCCCGAGCGACCACAGCCGCCTCACTGCCTTCACCTTGGTGTCGCGCCCTCGGCCCCGTTCCCCCATCTTCCCACGTGGCAGGTTGTCAGATGCAAGACCATGACCTGGGGGAGCGAGGGACGCATCCAGCTTGGTCTGTTCTCTGAGTGGACATTTCATTTCCAGGCTTCATTTTTTTTTTTTTTTTTTTTTTTTTTTAACCCCCGAGACAGGATCTCGCTCTGTCTCCCAGGCTGAAGTGCAGGGGCGCGATCTTGGCTCACTGCAACCTCCACCACCCGGATTTAAGCAATTCTCCTGCCTCATCCTCCCAAGTAGCTGGCATTACAGGCGCACACCACCATGCGCAGCTAATGTTTGTGGTTTTAGTAGAGACGGGGTTTCACCATGTTCCCCAGGCTGGTCTCAAATTCCTGACCTCATGATCCACCTTCCTCGGCCTCCCAAAGTGCTGAGATTACAGTCATGAGCCAGGATGCCCAGCCCCAGCCTAACATCAAGCCCGTGGCTTTGCCAGTGAAGTCAGGAGGAGGGGACTTTCTTGGCCTAAGTTCTGACGTCTGTCTGGATCTGTGTTCTTTTCAGATATTACGAAGAATTTCCGATTAATCTGAAGACGGGGGAAGCCAACCTCACCCAGATCTACCTGCAGGTGATGGGGGGGCGGGGACCGCAGCAGCCTCGCCCTGTGGGAGGCGGGGGGACAGGGACTGCAGCAGCCTCGCCCTGTGGGAGGTGGGGAGACGGGGACCGCAGCAGCCTCGCCCTGCAGGAGGCGTGGGGAGGTCGGCCTGAGGCTGGAGGAGGACGGTGCGACTCTCACCATAGGAAGCCCTGGACTTCATTAAGAGACAGGCACGGCGCCACCCCTTCTTCCTCTACTGGGCTGTCGACGCCACACATGCACCTGTCTACGCCTCCAAACCCTTCTTGGGCACCAGTCAGCGAGGGCGGTGAGTCCCGGTTCCAAGGAGCACAGACCGTGCTGGAGGCCCCAGCTGTGCTTGATGACTCCGGAGATGGGGCACTCAGTACCGTGGCATTTAGTGACTATTTTGGAAAGGCCAGAGCAACCCCCCCCGTTTGAAGCCATCCACTGGCCTGGGATCAGGAGAGGAGGGCTGTGGTGGGGGTGCCGGCTCTGTCCTTCATAAGCCACATCAACTTGAACTGAAGCCATTCCTCTTCCAGGAAGAGGCCGGCCAGTTTCGCTGTCGTCTGTGAAGTTAAGATTTAACGTACTCCGTGAATCCCAGTATGCCGTTGGCTGCCTGATCTGTTTGTCTCCGTCCTCCAGGTATGGAGATGCCATCCGGGAGATTGATGACAGCGTTGGGAAGATGCTGGAGCTTCTCCACGACCTGCACGTCGCAGACAACACCTTCGTCTTCTTCACATCGGACAACGGTGCTGCCCTCATTTCCGCCCCCGAACAAGGTGAGTGCTCACCGTCACTCCTCGAGGTTTCACCGCGGCCACTGTGTCGGTGAGGAGCAGCTGGACTGGCTGTGAGGCAGGAGTGGCTTTGAACTTGGGGGTGGGGAGGAGATGACACAGAGGAGAGGGTTTGTCTTGGAAGAGGCCGACGCTTCCCAAAGGGTGACCCTGGAGACTGGAGGTTTTGGAGGCTGCATGGAAACAGCAGAGCTGGTGGAGTGGGGTGTCCCTGCTGAGGTGGGGGCTGGCACCCAAGACCCCCAGCAGCCCTGGGAGTGTGGCCCGAACCTGGTCACCCCGGGGCCGGGCCGCCTCCGTGAAGATGGGCTCCTGCCCCCACCACCCAAGTGGTTCCCGGGATGGAGCTTCAGCCTTTCCCCCACTCGGCACTGATGAATGCCTGACCCGACCCCAGCGCCAACAAACCCGAACCCGCCTCTTCCCAGACCACGCTGGGGGGCCCTGCACCCTTTTCCCAGACCATGCTGGGGGGCCCTGCAGCCTCTTCCCAGACCACGCGGGGGGCCCCTGCACCCTCTTCCCAGACCACGCGGGCGCCTGCAGCCTCTTCCCAGACCATGCTGGGGGCCTGCACCACCTTCCCCCAGACCACACGGGGCGCCCTGCAGCCTCTTCCCAGACCACACGGGGGCGCCCTGCAGCCTCTTCCCAGACCACACGGGGGCGCCCTGCACCCTCTTCCCAGACCACGCGGGGGCTCCCTGCAGCCTCTTCCCAGACCACGCGGGGCGCCTGCAGCCTCTTCCCAGACCCACGCTGGGGGCCCTGCACCCTCTTCCCAGACCACACGGGGGCGCCCTGCAGCCTCTTCCCAGACCACACGGGGGCGCCCTGCAGCCTCTTCCCAGACCACACGGGCGCCCTGCCCTCTTCCCAGATCTGCAGGCGCCCTGCAGCCTCTTCCCAGACCACGCGGGCGCCCTGCAGCCTCTTCCCAGACCACCCAGGGCGCCCTGCACCCTCTTCCCAGACCACGCGGGGGCTCCCTGCAGCCTCTTCCCAGACCACGCGGGGCGCTCCCTGCAGCCTTCCCAGACCATGCTGGGGCCCTGCACCCTCTTCCCAGACCACACGGGGGGGTGCCTGCAGCCTCTTCCCAGACCCTGCGGGCGCCTGCAGCCTCTTCCCAGACCACGTGGGGGCCCCTCTTCCCAGACCACGTGGGGGCCTGCACCCTCTTCCCAGACCACGCTGGGGGCCTGCAGCCTTATCTTCCCAGACCACCACGGGCGCCCTGCAGCCTCTTCCCAGACCACGCTGGGGCCCTGCACCCTCTTCCCAGACCCTGCAGGCGCCCTGCAGCCTCTTCCCAGACCACACGGGCGCCACTGCAGCCTCTTCCCAGACCACACGAGGCTTCCCTGCAGTCTCTTCCCAGAGCACGCGGGGGCCCCTGCCTGTCTTCCCAGACCACACGGGCGCCTGCAGCCTCTTCCCAGACCCCTGCACCCTCTTCCCAGACCACACGGGGGCGCCCTGCAGCCTCTTCCCAGACCACACGGGGGCGCCCTGCAGCCTCTTCCCCGACCACGCGGGGGCGCCCTGCAGCCTCGTCCCCGACCACGCGGGGGCGCCCTGCAGCCTCGTCCCCGACCACGCGGGGGCGCCCTGCAGCCTCGTCCCCGACCACGCGGGGGCGCCCTGCAGCCTCGTCCCCGACCACGCGGGGGCGCCCTGCAGCCTCGTCCCAGACCACGCGGGGGGGGGGGGGGCCTGCAGCCTTGTCCCAGACCACGCGGGGGCGCCCTGCAGCCTCGTCCCAGACTATGCGGGGGGGCCCTGCAGCCTCGTCCCCGACCACGCGGGGGCGCCCTGCAGCCTCGTCCCAGACCACGCGGGGGCGCCCTGCACCCTCGTCCCAGACCACGCGGGAGTTGGGGGGGGGGCCTGCAGCCTCGTCCCAGACCATGCGGGGGGCCCTGCAGCCTGGCGTCCTGCGGGGAGAGGAGCTTCAGGGTTTGAAGTGATAGAAACCAGCACAGCTGGAAGCCAAAAGAGAAACATAGGTTCCCTCGTGCCACGTCCCACCAGATGGCTCCCCTGGGTGAGCCTGGCTCTCGTGCAGGCCTTCCGGACAGCTCCACCTCCCACCCACTGGAGTCAGACCCATGAGTCCAGGCCCCGCACAGACCCATGTCTGGAGGGCTACAGGCAGCTCCTAGGAGGGAGGGTGCTGGCCGCCATTCCCCAGGGGGAGCCCGGGGGGCCACCTCAACACCAGCACCCACAACCACCAGCCAGCAGTGGCAAGGGCCCCAGCGACCTGAGTCTTCATTTCTTTTTTTTTCTTTTTTTTTTTTTTTTTTCCCTGAGACGGAGTCTTGCTCTGTAGCCCGGGCTGGACTGCAGTGGCCGGATCTCAGCTCACTGCAAGCTCCGCCTCCCGGGTTCCCGCCATTTTCCTGCCTCAGCCTCCCGAGGAGCTGGGACCACAGGCGCCGCCACCTCGCCCGGCTAGTTTTTTGTATTTTTAGTAGAGACGGGGTTTCACCGTGTTAGCCAGGATGGTCTCAATCTCCTGACCTGGTGATCCGCCCGCCTTGGCCTCCCAAAGTGCTGGGATTACAGGCTTGAGCCCCCGCGCCCGGCCTAAGTCTTCATTTCTAAGTGATAGAGTCTTTCATACAAACAAATGGCGTACGTACCTATTTGTAATGAGAACCCCCACACCCAGCACCCAGCACAAGACTAGAAACAGAGCATCCCAGAGAAAGCAGGGGAGGGGGCCGGGCGCGGTGGCTCACACCTGTAATCCCAGCACTTTGGGAGGCCGAGATGGGTAGATCACGAGGTCAGGAGATCGAGACCATCCTGGCTAACATAGTGAAACCCTGTCCCTACTAATAAAAAATTAGCCTGGCGTGGTGGTGGGCACCGGTAGTCTCAGTTATTCAGGAGGCTGAGGCAGGAGAATGGCATGAACCCAGGAGACAGAGCTTGCAGTGAGCCGAGATTGCACCACTGCACTCCAGCCTGGGCGACAGAGCGAGACTCTGTCTCTAAAAGAAAAATAAAATAAGCAGGAAAGGGGAGAGAGAAGAAAAGGGAGGGAGTCAGGGAGAGAAGGAGAAAGAAGAAAGAACAGCATGGCCTCCTGGGAGCCGAGTGTCCCCTAGAAGTGGCCACTATCCCTAGCTCAGTGTCCTTTGTCCCCTCACAGGTTCTGTGGCTCTGCTGCTATGAGCAGGGCCCTCCCTGAGCCAGGCCAGGTTCTGGGTGTTGGCGTGTTCGCCTGTGAGGGACTCTGAGCAGAGCTGCCTGCCAGGTTCTGTTCAGAGGCTTCCCCACGCTGCCACTCGGGGGTTTGGAAGGCAGCGCAGGAAAGAATTGCGGTGACTTCACGTCCCCTGGGTGGTTCACTTTTTCACTACCAGAAAAATACTTTTTCTTTTTGTTTTTTTTTTTTTGAGACAGAGTCTCGCTCTGTTGCCCAGGCTTGAGTGCAATGACGTAATCTCAGCTCACTGTAAGCTCCGCCTCCCGGGATCCCGCCATTCTCCTACCTCAGCCTCCTGAGTAACTTTGACTACAGGCACCCGCCACCACGCCCAGCTAATTTTTTGTATTTTTAGCAGAGACGTGGCTTCACCGTGTTAGCCAGGATAGTCTCGATCTGCTGACTTTGTGATCCACCCGTCTCAGCCTCCCAAAATGCTGGAATTACAGGCGTGAGCCACTGTGTCCGGTTTTTTTTTTCTTTTTTTGAGACAAGATCTTGCTGTGTCACCCAGGCTGGAGTGCAGTGGCGTGATCTCAGCTCACTGCAGCCTTGACCTGGGCTCAGATGATCCTCCCACCTCCTGAATAGCCTCCTGAATAGCTGAGACTACGGGGCACGCCACCATACCCAGCTAATTTTTGTGATTTTGTAGAGATGGGGTTTAGCCATGGTCTCTCTTTGGTAGAAACCAGTCGGCTGGGCGCGGTGGCTCCAGCCTGTAATCCCAGCACTTTGGGAGGCCGAGACGGGCGGATCACGAGGTCAAGAGCTCGAGACCATCCTGGTTCACACGGTGAAACCCCGTCTCTACTAAAAAATACAAAAAACCAGCCGGGCGAGGTGGCGGGCGCCTGTAGTCCCAGCTACTCGGGAGGCTGAGGCCGGAGAATGGCGTGAACCCGAGAGGCGGAGCTTGCAGTGAGCTGAGATCCAGCCACTGCACTCCAGCCTGGGCAACAGAGCTACACTCCGCCTCAAAAAAAAAAAAAAAGAAACCAGTCTAGGCTAGTCTTGACCTCTCGGGTTCAAGCAATCCCCCTGCTTCAGCGTCCCAAGATACTGGGATGACAGGTATGAGTCACCACAGCCAGCCCCTTGGTTTCATTTTCCCCTTTTTTCAGGGGACCTGAAGCTGAGAGCGCCTCAGGTGCTCAGGCTACAGCAGCAGGAGTGGTTTTTGTCCCTGACATGAGCCCCCTGCCTCCTCCCTCCATGTCTGGGAGTGAGCTGGAGATGGTGCCGGCACCGGAGCTGGCCTTTACCCTATGAGCACTTCCCACAAGCGATGGCTTGGAGACCAAAATCCAGTCTTGGGGGCTTGTCAGAAACACAGATTCCTGCACCCCACCCTGACTGACTGAGTCAGAACCGTAGGGAGGCCAGAAGTTGGCCGCATTTTAAGTTTCCCACACACTGGGAGGCTTGTGAACATTCACGTTAGGGAAGCACCAGCCGGACTGCGCACCGGTGCCCGGGCCTCTGCTGTGGGAGTGTACGTTTCTGAGTCTTGCTGACACCGTGTGGTTGCGTTTCCGTTTCCTCAGTGGGCATGACGTTGCCACTTTCCCAGGAGACCTTGCAGCCGCAGCATCTCAGATGAGCCCCTGGAGGGCTGCCCCGAGGCTCGCATCTCGCACTCCAGCCAGAGCGCCCCGTCTGGGCCCTTTGTTCCCATGACCGGTCTCAGTGACTCAGTGTCACCTGGGGAGGGGTAGGGCCTGGGGACATCGGGTCCCAGTGGCCTGACGTGGGGCCCCTCTCTCCCAGCTGGCAGCAACGGCCCCTTTCTGTGTGGGAAGCAGACCACGTTTGAAGGAGGGATGAGGGAGCCTGCCCTCGCGTGGTGGCCGGGGCACATCGCCGCAGGCCAGGTGAGTCAGAATCCACCCGTCTGCCGGGCAGCAGGTCCAGGCCTGTGGCCATCCCAGGGTGTGTGCAGCCCTCACTTTCCTCTCGCCTGCCCACCCTCCCCAGGGCCTGGCCTGCCTGTCCCTCCTGCCTGTCCTGGAGCTCCCTGGGTGTGTCAGGAGCCGTCCCCGCCACAGCTACTCAGAGGCGCTCCTGTCTAGCCGCAGCTGCCCCTCCACGCCTGGTTTTCCTCCACCTGCTTCTCTGACTTAAGGGGCAGGGCTCACGGTGGCGTTAGGGCTTTCAGTGTTAGAGCGAGGTGGTCCTCTCCAGACAGGTGGGCCTGGAGAGGTGGGACCTCCTGGCATCTCCCTGGCAGGGCTGTGATTCTGCTTTCGTCTGATCCACGGGGCAGAGGAGGCTGCCAGGGAGTGAGGGCATGGCCTGGCTCTGGGGTCTTTGGGGCCTGGTTTGAGGCCCTTCTGCCACTCACAGGCCTTGTGGCTCCGCTCAGTCCGTGCCATGGGCATGTGCGTGTGTGCATATCTGTGGACCCAGCTGGGCAGCGGGGCGCACGTGCCCCCGGGGATTGGCCCTGAGTGCGTTGCTGCCGTGTGTTTCAGGTGAGCCACCAGCTGGGCAGCATCATGGACCTCTTCACCACCAGCCTGGCGCTTGCGGGCTTGACGCCGCCCAGAGACAGGGCCATCGATGGCCTCAATCTCCTCCCCGCCCTCCTGCAGGGCCGGCTGATGGACAGGTTGGTGCTAGAACTGCCCCGGCCCCTTCCCCTGGATGCAAGTGGTGAAGCCCAGAGCTGATGATCAGGTGTGACCCCCAGGCCCAGCTGCCTCTCATTCCAGACACAGGCGTGCTCGTGCCCAGTGCTGAAGGAGGCGGGGGGCCTGTGATGAGAGGACCTGGGGACCTGCCTGTGGGGCGGGAGCCACCCTGGGAAGGTCCAAGCACAGCGAGGCCCTGGCTCTCAGGAAAGCCTTAGGAGGGAGGGTGAAGCCTGGAGAGGGGCCTCATCCCTGCCTGTACCCGGGCACACGCCACCCCTGCCCACCCCACCCCTCTTCCCTGCCCAGCCTGGTTTTCGGTGCCCCATGGCTTCCTGTAGTTTCCTTCCACCTGAGTCGCTGCTCTGCCAAGTCCACAGCCCAGCTCGTCCGGCTCTTAACTTCTGTCTACATCCTTGGTGTCTGAAGTCCATTTCCTACCCCCGAGAGCAGCCACCATTTCGCTCAAACTACGTTTCCTGGGCGGCCCTGAAGGGATGAGAATTATTCCAAAGGCTTGATGGGAAACAGAAGGTGGGGATGGCCCAAGGCAGCTGCCTCCTCCGGCTTTCCGGGGCAGGACAGAGGGGGTTTTGCTCACTTGTCCCCTCTCGGGACCTGGCACAGGTGCTTGGTCACTGGGGAGAGACGGTGCCCGGCTGCGTCCCCCACTCCCCGTTCCTGCCTCGCAGGCCCAACGTGGTCCAGAGACCCCGTGCCACCCGCTTTCCTCTTGCCTGCCCACCCTCCCCAGGGCCTGGCCTGGCCTCGCCAAGGACCAGCAATGAGGGGACGCCCAGGCTCCCCAGCCCCGGCCACCTTACAGGCCTTTTCACTTTTTTTTTTTTTTTTTTTTTTTTTTTTTTTTTTTTGAGACGGAGTCTTGTTCTGTAGCCCGGGCTGGACTGCAGTGGCCGGATCTCAGCTCACTGCAAGCTCCGCCTCCCGGGTTTATGCCATTCTCCTGCCTCAGCCTCCGGAGTAGCTGGGACTACAGGCGCCCGCCACCTCGCCCGGCTAGTTTTTTGTATTTTTAGTAGAGACGGGGTTTCACCGTATTAGCCAGGATGGTCTCGATCTCCTGACCTCGTGATCCGCCCGTCTCGGCCTCCCAAAGTGCTGGGATTACAGGCTTGAGCCACCGCGCCCGGCCCCTTTTCACTTTTCAATCATCTTTGTAAAGTATCAACCAAGACCTCACGAGGAGACATGAGCCACTGATGACAGACGCAGCCCGGAGCCCCCAGGTGGACCCAACGTGTGCTTCCCATCGTTACATGGTCCTCCCCTCCCGTCCGACAGGCCCATCTTCTATTACCGCGGTGACACACTGATGGCGGCCACCCTGGGGCAGCACAAGGCTCACTTCTGGACCTGGACCAACTCATGGGAGAACTTCAGACAGGTACGGGGCTCGGGACACGGGCGCGGGCGGAGCTGCCCCCATCTCTGTCCAGATGTGGCCCGTGAGTGCCATCCTTGGGGAGGCACAGGAGGGTGAGACAGGCAGGAGCCCCACCCCCTCCACCACAGCCTCCTCTGCGTGGCCCCCAGTCCTTCAGCGTGGCCCGGGGTGTGGCAGTGACAGGCTGGAGGCGAGGGAGGGACCTTTTCCTGCCCCGCATGATGACAGCAGCCCCGCGGCACAGCTACAAGCCTGGCCCAGACCCTGGTCAGGTGGCCCCCATGGGCCTCTCCATTCTACCAGGACACCTGAGCCTCGCCCACACCCCAGGCTGGAGGCGATAGGGGCGTGGCCTGCTTGGCCCGGGTGCTACATGGGGGCCATAGCCTCAGCATCACCACAGCAGCCCCCAGCGTGGGAGGGTGAAACGCCACACGCACAGGGCCTGGGGCTCCTGCCACCCTAGGCTACCCCAGTATTGTCAGTGCCAGACTCTCCCACGAGCCCTCGCCTCGAGCCTCCTGCTCCCTCCCCAGGGCCTTCTCTGGCCCCTGCTAATCCCCACGCTCCAGCATCCCCGACCCCCTCCTGAGGGGTCTCTCTCAGCCTCACCCACTCCCAGCATCAAAGTCTTGAGATATGAATCCTGTGCTAATCTGCCTTAATTGGGAAGAAAGGCCGGGCGCGGTGGCTCAAGCCTGTAATCCCAGCACTTTGGGAGGCCGAGACGGGCGGATCACGAGGTCAGGAGATTGAGACCATCCTGGCGAACACGGTGAAACCCCGTCTCTACTAAAAAAATACAAAAAACTAGCCGGGCGAGGTGGCGAGCGCCTGTAGTCCCAGCTACTCGAGAGGCTGAGGCAGGAGAATGGCATGAACCCGGGAGGCGGAGCTTGCAGTGAGCTGAGATCCGGCCGCTGCACTCCAGCCTGGGCAACAAAGCGAGACTCCGTCTCAAAAAAAAAAAAAAAAAAATACAAAAAACTAGCCGGGTGTGGTGGCGGCGCCTGTAGTCTCAGCTACTCGGGAGGCTGAGGCAGGAGAATGGCGTAAACCCGGGAGGCGGAGCTTGCAGTGAGCTGAGATCCGGCCCTGCACTCCAGCTGGCGTGGAGAGGCCAGACTCCGTCTCAAAAAAAAAAAAAAAAAATTATGGGAAGAAAATCAGACAGAGCCAGACTCCGTCTCAAAAAAAAAAAAAAAAAAAAAATTGGGAAGAAAATCATTCAGTTTAATGGAGAATCTAAGGACTAGAAGTGAGGACTGGAGCTGAGGGCTGAGCACCCAGGCTGAGGAGTGAAGCTGCTCGCGGGGCAGCAGCTGGAGGGCACCAGTGCCCAGGAGTGTTTTTGGCCTCTCCCCACCTTGTGCAGGCCCTGCACCCACTCTTTTTTCGGGTTTTACCTAACACTGCCGCCTGTGAGGGCCGTCCTGGGCATCGGTCTTCCGGCCCTCTCCGTGATCCGCCCTTCTCCAGACTCCCAGGGTTCCTCAGGGCTGCTCTAGTGAGCACCATGGGTACTTCCTGGCTACCTGGAGGCCGGCAGTGTGTGGAACCCTCTGGAAGGAGGGCTGGTCCCCGACTGTCACACACACAACCCCTCACCCTCTCCGGGGCCCTCTATGGGGTCCATGTCATTGGCTGTCTTGGGATAAGGTCGGTGAGCCCCACTTTTGCCCAAGTTGGTGTCCAGAGCGGACGGGCTGCAGCCAGAAGGGCACACAGAGCTCCCGGGCTGAGCCTCCCAGGCTCCTGTCAGCGCCTGTAAAAGTCTGGAAGGTTTTGCAGGCAGACTTGCCGCTGATGCAGCCAGGGTCTCGCTCGCATGCCACTCCTTGCTGGAACATGTTTGTGCAAGGGCTCCGAAAACATCAGGAGAAGCCCCCTAGCACCGGCAGGCAGGGAGGCTGTTAACCGCGTCACTCCACTCCTTGGAGAGTATTGGGGGCTGCCCCTGACACCAGGCACCATGGTCCTGAGGGCCCGGGGCTTGTCCTCATGGCAGACGCCACGGTCCTGAGGGCCCAGGGGGGGCTGCCCCCTGAAGCCACCTCCGTGCACCGCGGGTCCTGAGGGCCCAGGGGCTTCTTGTCTCAGGCAGACGCCACGTCCTGAGGGCCTAGGCCACATGGCAGATGCCGTCCTGAGGGCCCGGCTTCTGTCCTCGGGGCAGACGCCGCGGTCCTGAGGGCTCAGGGCTTGGCCATGGCAGATGCCGCGGTCCTGAGGCCCGGCTTGTCCTTGAGATGCCGTCCTGAGGGCCCGGGGCTTGTCCTCATGGCAGATGCCGCGGTCCTGAGGGCCCAGGACTTGGCCATATGGCAGATGCCGTGGTCCTGAGGGCCCGGGGCTTGGTGACATGGCAGACGCCGCGGTCCTGAGGGCCTGGGGCTTGGCCTCATGGCCGTAGGCAGAGTGGGCTCGTCGGTAGTGGACTCACCTGTTCCGGGGCAGATGTCCTTACTCGTAAAAATCGCAGCCTGAGATGCAGAAAATGAGGACCGTGGACTGTGAGTGTCGTGGGGTGGGGAGGGCCAGGGGAGGGGCCTGGCGTGGCTGAAGCTGCTGGTCAGCAAATGGGGCCCAAGGGAGCCACAGCTGAATGTTCCAAGAAGGGAACCTGGGGTTTTTTTCTTTGCAGTTTTATGGGTTTTTAAGTATATCCAATTAAACACAATTTTTTTTAAGACAGAGTCTGGCTCTGTTGCCCAGGCTAGAGTGGAGTGGCATGATCTCAGCCCACTGCAACCTCCACCTCCAGGGTTCAAGCGATTCCCCTGCCTCAGTCTCCCAAGTAGCTGGGATTACAGGTATCTGTCACCATCTCCGGCTGATTTTTGTATTTTTAGTAGAGATAGGGTTTCACCATGTTGGCCAGGCTGGTCTCAAACACTTGACCTCAGGTGATCCACCTGCCTCGGCCTCCCACAGTGCTGGGATGACAGGCGTAAGGCTCCACACCTGGCCTAGACACATAATTTGAGCATAAAAAGAAAAATCAGAATTTGTTTTCCAGCCTAGGAGCAGGTGACAGTGGGCTCCTGTGACGTTTTTGTCTGTTGTGGCCACTGCCGGGGAGAATCTGCGTTCTGTGTGGGTATCAAGTCCGTGATCCTGTTGTTCCCATCCTGCTCCACAGCCCCACAAGGTGTGGCTCGGCAGGCCGGCCCCTGGCCGGAGTCCCACGGACTCACCTGCCCTGTGGGCCTGGGGTTCTCTTGCAGGGTACTGACTGGGCCTTGGTCTCTGGCGGCTGGCCACCCTTGCGGACGATGGAGACCCTCTGGTTCCTATCACACGTGGCTGAGTGGGTCAGATGGGAGCCTGTGACGGACAAAACACCCTTGGCAGTGTGGGGGTTGGGGGATGAGGGGGTTTGTGGTGGGGTGGCCTCTCCAGTTCTCCCTGGGGCCTCGTGGAGACGCCTGCATCGTAGAATGGCTCCATGCCCGATGCCCCTGCCTTCCTGGGCGGAGCTGTGCTGGGCCTTAGCACTGTCGCTGGGCTGAGGCTGCAGCTCTGTCTGGGAGCACCTACCAGCTGTGCACAACGGTTTGGTCACCTCCTGGTGATACCGTGCGGTGGGACTGGGCATCCCCAGAGCTGGTGAAGGGCTCTCTGTGGATTTGCTCCCGAGGGAGGGATGTGCCCAGCAGGAAGCCCTTGGGGGCCCCGGGGTCCTCGCCTCTCCGTCGTTTGGGTCAAATAGTTTGGAGTTAGTTGCTTGTTGCTGTCAGATCCATGGAGACCATCCTGGAGCCGGGACTCGGCCCACATCAGCCTGGTGGGCAAAGGCAGAGAGCAGCCGGCCTGCAGCCACAGCGAGTCTGCCCAGAGCCCATGTGACGGGGGTGCCAGGGTTCTGACAGCAGGTCCCTTATCCATACTCCAGGCCTGTGCCGATCACTCTGTGGGTCACAGGTTTGCCTGTGGAGGTCCCGGGTCCTTGGGCTCCCTGCCACCACTGCCGCTGCCACCTCCCGTTGTGACAACACGGATGCTTTTCTTCCAAATGCCGGCCCCGTCCGCCTTCCTCCCTCCCAGGGGACAGTGAGGCCCAGCCAGCTGGAGCATCATAGACAATGACGGGGTCATGTCCCCCGAGCCGCCTGCCCGGGGCCAGTGGGGTCCCTCCTGGGGGGTCCACATGCCAGGGGTGACTGCTCTGCGAGGCCACACTGTGCATCCTGGGCTGGCCCCTACTCTGAAGGTGCAGGCCGGTGTGGTCACAGCTCAGGGCTTTGTGCTGGTCTGCCGTCCCCTGGTCCCAGGTCACCTGGAGGGACCTTGTTCGTGTCCATTCTGAAGGCTGAGCCTGAGAACCAGCTGGGCCTGGAGAGTCCTCAGTGTGACCTGACCACAGGTCACTGCTCCTAGGACTCCTCCACTGGCTGATGCCAGGTAGACCCCAGCACCCACAGCCCTCCACTAATGGGGTCCTCAACACCTTCCCTTCTGGGCCGTTGGAGGAGGAGGGAAAGGTGCTGTGAAGAATACCACAGCAACAGACGGGTGTTAGCCCTGGGGCCAGGCCGGACCGAGTCGCTCCTCCTGGCAGAGTGGACTTCGGGTGGAGCCTGGCCAGTGCCTGCCAGTGAGGTGGCAGCAAGGTCAGAAGGTGCACACCAGCCCTCACAGGCTATTGCCGCTGCTGGGTCCTGTGGCTCTGCCCCCATCTTCTCCTGGCGCCCCAGGATCCTCCTCTGCCCTCCTCAGGCTGGGCCCTTGACCCCTGCAGCGCTCTGCTCCCTGCAGGACCCATTCCCAGCTGGAGACCCAGCTGCTGGCACCCAACCTACAGGCCTACCCCAGCCGTCCGATCGGCCCACAGGCCCACCCCAGCCATCGGACCAGTTGCCCTGCTTGGTGCCTGGCTTCTCTGCCAGCAGAGCACAGGCCCTGCCCTGGGTTCCCAAACCTGAATGCGTTCCTCACCGCAGGCCCTTGAGCCGTGTGCAGTGGGCAGCCCTAGCTGCCGTGCTCGCCGTACACTGTCACATCCCAGTGGGTCCTCGGTGCTGTGCTCGTTGAGAGAACTGGTGCCTGGCAGGTACCAGTGTGCAGAGGATGCGGCGGTCACCCAGAGGAGCACCGGGGCCATGCACATCCCCCACTGCAGCGGCTGCTGCGGCCACAGAGTGGGAAGCAGGAGAGGTCAGGCCGATCCGCGAGACCCTCGGCCTTTCCTGACCAAATCCCCGAGAGTCTGCCTGTCTACGGGATCATCCCTTCCCCTCCTACTTCTCTTTTAAAAGTCAGTCCTGACTCCCAGGCCCCCGCCTGCACCCCACCGTACATGCCCAGTGCCTGGCACTCGGTGCTGGCTCAGTGAGGAGGAAGAGGTGCGGGGCGATGGCTGGCTCTGCTGTGGTGCCCCCAGGGTGAGGTCTCCCTCAGAACACAGCAGTGAGAGCGGAATCTGCACACATCAGCCGGGTCTTGATTAAACAGCTTATTTGACTTGCGTCCCGGCCGTAGGTCACGTCATGTGTCTTGACTGAGATGCTTCCCCATTACCTGCCAGCATCTTCCTTCTGAGTGCGGCCGTTCCTCCCACTGTCCATCCACACATGCTGTCTGTCCGGGAGGCCACAACACGGCCCACTGTGGTGCCACTTTCGCGTCCACTGCTGCCCTGAGCCACGCTGAGCGCGACCCTTGGTTTCCAGCTGTGGACTCGGGAATCTGCAGCCCAGGGCACGTCAGTGGAATTGCATGGACTTCTTAACCACCCTCCTCCACTGAAAAGCAGAACATGGTCTGCTCCGCTGACCAGCTGTCCCTCCCAGACACACGCCACGTGCTAGGAAACAGTTTGCTTGTCAGACGGGATGCCCGCAGGAGCTGCTCAGTCACTGGTGCCAGAGGCAAGCAGCTCGGCTGCACCTGCCCCAGCCCACCCTGGCTCAAGGCTTGAGGGATCCCTGCACACAGTGGCCCAGTCTCCCGGCTGCTGGAGCCCCTGGCACAGTCCTCGGATGAACCCCTTGGCCTGCAGCACCCCCTCTGGGAATATTAGAGGCATACCTCCCCCTTCCCGAATCAGGGAGCCCGGGGATGGGGGCGGGGGGCGGCAGCAGAGAGAGAATTGTGGTTACTGTGAAATCCTCGCCCTTCTTGAGTGTGTGAATCTGCGTCAACTCCCTGGCTCTGTTTGTTTGCTGTGTTTTCTCTTGCCTTTCAGGTGTTGGTCCTGCTCTTCCCCGTGTCAGGGTTTCTTTTTTTTTTTTTTTTTTGAGACAGAATCTTGCTCTGTCTCCCAGGCTGAAGTGCAGTGGCGCGATCCTGGCTCACTGCAAGCTCCGCCTCCTGGGTTCATGCCATTCTCCTGCCCCAGCCTCCCGAGTAGCTGGGACTACAGGCGCCCGCCACCGCGCCCAGCTAGTTTTTTGTATTTTTAGTCGAGACGGGGTTTCACCGTGGTCTCGATCTCCTGACCTTGTGATCCGCCTGCCTCGGCCTCCCGAAGCGCTGGGATTACAGGCGTGAGCCACCGCGCCCGGCCTCCGTGTCAGGGTTTCTATAGAGATTCTGAGCATTGTGGCTCTCCCTTCTCCCAGGGCAGGCCCTCCCTCCCATCCCCAGCAGAGAGTGGGGTGTTAAAAGGGGCTTTCCTCCATGAAATTAGTGGCTGTCCAGATGTGAGGCTGACTAAGGTGTTTTAAGGACACTCACCTGCCCCACAAAGAAGAGGGGTACATGAAAACGGGGTACGTGAGGCATGCCAGCTACGCATCTCGGGGGTCCAGAGCGGGCGGCTTCACCTCCTCCACAGGATGCTTACAGGCCCAGCAGTCCTTCATCATTCAGCCAGTGCCCTGCACCATGCTGAGTACCAGGGACACTGCTAGGCACAGGCAGACAAGGCCCCCCACAGCCCCCAGTTAGGGGCTCCAGGACACGGGCAGATGAGGCCCCTCACGCCGCAGTCAGGGGCTCCAGGACACACCTTCCCTCCTCTTCTCATTGCAGGGCGTTGATTTCTGCCCTGGGCAGAACGTTTCAGGGGTCACAACTCACAGCCTGGAAGACCACACGAAGCTGCCCCTGATCTTCCACCTGGGACGGGACCCGGGGGAGAGGTTCCCCCTGAGGTAAGTCGGTGCAGGGCCTCCTGACTGCTGGGGCGGTGCCAGCCGGACTCCCCCAAACGCAGGTTCCACAGGGACGGAGCCCCTCTGCACCCTGCCCGCCACCTCCCCGTGCCTGTGTCTCCTCTTGCTGTTCGTGCTCACACATGCTTGGTGGCCTGCCCTCAGGGTGCCTGCTCCCGTCCACCCTGGTGGTCTCCCCACTTCTGTGCCTTCTGGGCCACCGTCCACCCGGCCCCTAGTGATGTGTCCCCGACTCTGAACTGCCTTTGGGGATGGCTGAGGCCAGAGGGGAGGTGTCCAGGCCCTGGGGCCAGCAGGAGGTGCAAGGACACAGGTCAGCCAGCAGGAGGAATGGCAGAAAGCCACCAGCCCCAGCTCCACCCTCTGCTCTCTGGGCCTTGTCCTCACCCCATCGAGGATGCCGGAGCCTGTGCCATTGCCTGCCAGCTTTCAGGGAAGCCCTCCCCTTACCCTTGGGAGTCTCGAGGGTCATGGTCACCAGTACCAAACCCACGTGCCCTCTGGCAGCTCCTTAGGGGCGACACAGAGGCCCCAGCACTTGGCTGGAGGAAGCCCCAACACTCTGGCTTCCTTTTCTTTTGCCCAAAGCCGTCTCCCTGGGCTAGGCCTGGCTGGCGGCTTCTCCACCTCACCCCAGCGGGATGAGCAGGTCCCCAGTTCCTGCTGCTGGTCTGGGGTTCTGGGGCACATGCGTTTCCAGTGGTCTCCAGCATTCCTGCCCTATCCGGTTGGCCCTGGGAAGACCCAGGAGCGTCAGGGGAGTGGCTGTGCAGAGGCAGAGCCAGGCCTGAGCACAGCAGTTGCTCTCTGCCCAGGCTGTTCTCTGCTTACCAATCGGCCTGGGTTTGCATAGAGCCAGTGGGAGGCAGCAGAGAGCAGTACAGGACCCAGGGTGGCAGCACCACTGCCAAGGTCGCCCGAGGCTCCTGCACCCTCTGGATGGGGCAACCACCTTGCCACGGGGCTGAGCCTGCGCTGAGGTTCCCGGGCTGGAGCCCCTCCCATGGCCTCAGGGACCATTTGGGCACTTCCTCAGCAGCACCTCTCCTCCACCAAGTGTGCAGCTCAGAAGCCCAGGATGGTGACTGCGGGAAGGCAGCACGGAGCCTGGAGTGGACAGAGCGGTGTCCCCAGGCCCAGGTCCACCCACACCTCCCAGCCCCATCAGGAGGGGAGCTGGCCCACCTGGTAACCGCATCTCTGGCTTTGTGAGGAGCTGCCACACCGCCTTCCACAGTGGCTGCTCCAGTCCGCGTGCCCACCAGCAGCAACGCGGCTCCCGGCCTGGGCAGTGACTCTGGCTTCAGCCTCACACTCGTGAAAGTTCCTCCCTGCATCTCCACGATGACAGTGGTGGCAGGTGTCTGTTCACCTGCATGTTGGCCATATTAGAAGTGATTGAAAAAGGTGAAAAAGCATCATCTCTGCAGATGTTCTCAGAGCCCGGCATGACAGCGCCATGGACCCTAGATTCACAGCATCGCAAACTGCGGCCCTCACAGCACCTCATCGAGTTGTATAATCGTATCTTCGTGAAAATGAAAGGAATCCAAACACTCCACGTGCTTGCATTGGAATTTTAGAACCACAGATGCCATTCCCTTCCATTTCCCACTGTTTTTGGGCAATGGGATGACATTGCTTTTGTAATGAAACAAGTTTGTGTCGTATTTGTAAATGTTTATGTAGTAGTGAGTACTGGGGAGACCCACACACAGGTCCCAGCCCACACGTCCCAGGTCCTGGTCACAGGCAGGTCACCCTAGTGGGGACAGGACGGGACAGTTCTGCTCACAGCCTCTCTGCCAGGGCTTGGCCTCCCGAGCCTCCATTTCCCCCGTTGCCCGTGAGTCTGAGGGCAGAGGATGGCTCAGGTGCCTGCTACCTGTCCTAGCAAGGCCTGGGGCCGCTGTAGGCTTGAGCACGTGGTCCACAGTGACTGCCCACTGTGGTTCTCGGCCCATTAGACCCCTGAAGCCTCAGCCTTTCCAGGCCAGCCCCTCCCTGTCCTTCGCTGTCAGCCCCAGGCGCACCCCTGCAGCCACAGCCATGTGACCAGAGCTCTCTGTCCCCAGCTTTGCCAGCGTTGAGTACCAGGAGGCCCTCAGCAGGATCACTTCGGTCGTCCAGCAGCACCAGGAGGTCTTGGTCCCCGGGCAGCCCCAGCTCAACGTGTGCAACTGGGCAGTCATGGTGAGTGGCTGGTATGCAGGCAGCCATCTCTGTGCCGGGACCGCAGCCACCCACCTGGGGCCCCAGGATGAACCGTGGCCAGCACAGGGCGGGGGTAGGGGCTCTTCCCTGCCTCCATCAGTGGTAAGGCCCTCGTGCCTCAGAGCACACGTGGTGGCGTCCAGGATTCAGGGAGCTGGAGCCAAGCAACTCGGGGACCAGAACAACACTGTGCCAGGGCGCCGCAGGTCCAGAGCCGGCCATCCGGGCCTCTGCCTGGCTGAGCTGAGACTGGGGAGCTCCAAGACCCCTCTCCTGCCCCCCACAGGTGGTCACTGGGGGACAGCAGGGAGCATGAGAGGGGCCGGGGTCCCCTGGTCCTCGACTCCCACACAGGCAGCTTCTCCTTGGGGGGGCCCTGTGATGACACCCGAATCCCCAGGCTCTGCAGGCACTGAGGCAGGAACGGCACTGCCCGCTGGGTCCGGGGTGGACTGGTGCTGCACTGTGAGTGGCGGCGGCCCCAGGGCCCACCTGCAAGGTTCCCATTGTGTCTCCTTCATGCTGGGTCAGCCCCAGGGACCTTCGTGTCAGACCTGATCCCACTCAGTCACCCAGAGCAGCATCTCCTTGTGGCCTGATGAGACCAGGCCATGTTCACCTCCAGTGGAGAAATGGTCTAATCACACCAGCATCGGCCAGAAACACAAGCACAGATATGCCTCCAAAGTTTCACTGAAGTCTGTGTTCAAGGCACAAAGGATGCGTTTCCTTGTCCAGACCTGGGGGCCGCAGTCAGGGCCTCTTAGGAGCAGCTTTTCTGTCCCCTGCTGGGGGGTCCCCTAGGGTGGGGTGTGGACGGCCCAGCCATCCTGAGTGTGCAGTGGCCGCAAAGGCCTTTTTCCCAGCACAGCGGATGTGGGTCCCAGCAGGGAAGGCCTTCGCAGCTCCTTCAGATGGGACATGTGCAGCCTGCACTCCAGTCAGCAAAAATGGGTCACACACAGGTCTGCAGTGTCACTCCTGGGTGCCCAGAGCCCACAGAGCACAGTGGAGATGGCCAAACCCAGCCTCCAGGCCCCTGAGCCATCACTTAGCTGTTTACACGGGCTGAGCGTGGCTGCCCACAGCCCCTGGATCTGCCGAGTGAAACCGCAGGAGCTCGGGACCCCGGGGCAGCTGCAGAATTCAGCCTGGGCTCTCCTGCTCTGTGGGCGAAAGGACCTGGCTGCAGTGTGGGAGCCACTGGGTGCCCGCCGTGCCGTGGGAAGGAAGGTGGTGGCTCTGCACAGCCAGGGAGCCACAGCGTGGGCCAGCAGGTGGAACAGGAGAGTGCCGGACATCGGCAGCATCTCCCAGCAATGAGGACCATGGAGGGCAGATGGCCTTGTCCCTGCCCAGGGAGGGTCCACCCTGCAGGGGTCATTTAGGACTGGGCGGGGCGGGGCCACCTCCGTTAGTTGGGGGGCTGGCGGGGGTGCCTGGCAAGTTTCATAGGAAGATATTCAGGGCCCTTTCTTCAAAGGGACCTGGGCAGTTGGCGTCCCTGCCTCTGGACTCAGCAGTGGAGCAGGGAGGTCCCTGTCTCAGGACCCCTGAGTCTCGGGCCCCAGGAGCCCAGGGCCACCAGCCGTGGAGGATCCCTGGGCTTCTGCCTTCCACACCCAATCCCAGTCCGTGCTGCTGGGTCCTGCTCTGCGACCCAGGCTGCAGTGGCTCCACGGGTGCAGGCCACACCAGCCATGGAGACAGGGGGCCCAGGGCAGGGGAGGGGGGCGCGCACAGCCTGGCTGCCACTGCCATCTCCTGGGCACTGGGGAAACTGCCCCCACCGCCACACCTGTGCCCTCTGCAGGGGGAAAAGTGGTGCCAACTCAGACCTGGCCAGCTGAGCCACTGGGGTCTGAGGGGCCCAGACGCCACCGTGAGCAGAGCCACGGAGGAGATGCACAGGCACGTGTGTGAAGCCTGGGGGCCACTTGCCCTCCTCACCCCTTCCCTGCCCTCTGTCCCCACCAACTACAGGCCAGCCCCAGCTGAGGGGCTCAGTGGTGTCTCTGACACAGAGGAGAGGGAGTCTGGCCACCTGGACCCCTGCTCCTGGGACAGCTAAGCAGCCTTTGAGAAATGCAGACTCTCACACACCCTGCGGCTGCCTCTGCTGCCCCTGGAGTTTGGGAGCAACCTCCTCAGCCAAACCCACCCCTGTTCTGGTGGCCAAGGGGGCAGGGACACTCACGTGGCATGCCTGCTGCCGCGCAGGGCTGGAGAGTGTCCTTAGTCCTCTGATTGAGCAGCACACAAAATTCAAAGTCTGTCCCGACGGGAAGGTGCCCTCAGGGCTATGCGGCATCTGACGTGGCACAGAGGTGGCCTGGATGGGGACACGGAACCAAACTGCACTCATTTCAGCCAAGAAGGCTCCTCTTAGGGGCATAAGTCTCCCTTTCTGTTGCCAGGAAAAGTGCCCTCCCACCAAGCAAGGCTTCCACTAAGTGGGGCTGCGCTGTGAGGTCCACACACACCCAGGCGATGGAGGGGTGCAGGCTCTGCTCAGTGCCACACTGAACTGAGCCCAGCAGCGCAGTAGGGACCGGCTCCTCCCTGGGAAAGGCTTCTTGAGAGGCTGAAGCTGCAGGAGAGGGTGATGAGTTGAGAGGCTCAGGGTGGGCCCTCAGCCACTTGGCAGCTGCATCCCCCACACCCGGGACCTCCCCGCCAAGTTCTTCTCCAACAGCAGCCTCCTCAGAGCTGAGAGGCTGAGTCGGGAGGGCGCCGTCTCCCGAGTTCCCGTGATTCCTGGTGAGGCGTCTGTGTAGCTGCCCGCCTGGACTGAGGTGGCCTCCACACTGAGGCCAATTAGATGGGAGTCGGGGATTGGACTGGGCAGGGGACACATCAAAACTGCTCAAGGCCAAGCCTGGTGGCTCACACCTGTAATCCCAGCACTTTGGGAGGCCAAGGCAGGCGGATCACCTGAGGTCAGAAGTTTGAGACCAGCCTGGCCAACATGGGGAACCCTTGTTTCTATTAAAAATAAAGAAATGGCTGGGCGTGGGGGCTCACACCTGTAATCCCAGCACCTTGGGAGGCCAAGGCGGGTGGATCACGAGGTCAAGAGTTCAAGACCAGCCTGGTCAAGATGGTGAAACCCTGTCTCTACTAAAAATACAAAAATTAGCCAGGCGTGGAGTATAGCCGTGCCTGTAAGCCCAGCAGCTATTCGGGAGGCTGAAGCAGGAGAATCACTTGAACCCGGAAGGCAGAGGTTGCAGTGAGCCGAGATCGCGCCACTGAACTCCAGCCTGGGTGACAGAGCGAGACTGTCTCAAAACAGAACAACAAAGTGCTGCTGCTGGGCCCACTCGAGCTTGGAATAACTGTGTTGTTTTTCTCAATTTTCATTTCCCAGAACTGGGCACCCCCGGGCTGTGAAAAGTTAGGGAAGTGTCTGACACCTCCAGAATCCATTCCCAAGAAGTGCCTCTGGTCCCACTAGCACCTGCGTGGACCCAGGCCAGGCCTGGAATCTCCGGTTGGCTCTGCAAGTGCCTGGGGGGAGGACGGCTCTGGTCTCGGTGCTCCCCCGACCCTGCCCAGGCCAGACAGACGGCACCTGCAGACACGGGGACTGCACGACTCCACCTGCCCAGGACCTGACCCTGGAGTGTGCTCGGCCCTCCTCCTCGCCCACGGGGCCTCAGATCTCAGGACCCTCCTCCTCGGCCGCGGCGCCTCAGACCTCAGGACACTGCCGTCTCACGCCTTTGTGAACCCCAAATATCTGAGACAGGTCTCGGTCAATTTAGAAAGTTTATTTTGCCAAGGTTAAGGATGCACCCGTGATAGCCTCAGGAGGTCCTGAAAACACGTGCCCGAGGTGGTTGGGGGTACAGTTTGCCTTTACATCTTAGGGAGACATAAGATAGTATGTGTAAGACGTACATTGGTTCGGCCAGCCTTCCACTGAATACATGATTGAGTCTGGCCCAGTGAATCCGCATTTTTATGTTAACAATAAGGGAGGGGAACAATCAGATAAGCGTTTGTCTCAGGGGCCCCAGAGGGGTGACTTCCAGTTCCGTCTGTCCTTTGTCCACAAGGAATTTCCTTGGGCGCTAATTATGAGGGAGGCGTAGTCTTTATCATTGTAGCTATGTTACTTAGAAATAAAACAGGAGGCAGGTTTGCCTAATTCCCAGCTTGACTTTTCTCGGCTTAGTGATTTTGGGGTCCCGAGATTTATTTTCCTTTTATACCTTCCCAGCAGCTGCCAAGAATCAGGTGCCCAGCTCCAGCCGCCTCCCACCTTCTCCAGAGCCCAGCGCTGCATTCCTTGCCAAAGGGCAGGACTCGGGGCTCCCTGCTGTTCCCACACCAGCCCAACAGCCCAGGGTTGAAGGAGGTGACAGGGCCAATTCTGTGTTGAACCCTCCCCAGGCCCCTCCTCCAGTACCCCCAACCCCAGTCCCAGGCCCCCCTCGGGCCATCTGGGAGACAGAGTCAGGAACAAGGAGGGGAAGGCCGAGGCCTCCTGGGCTGGATGTGGACGGCTTAAGTGTAGCTCACACACTTGGCCCGTGGGCCCGGCTCATGTGGCAGCTTCCACGGGGATGTGAAGATACCAGGGTCCTCCATTTGCACCTTCCCTAGAGGTCTGGAGCCCAGGCCCCAGGCCTTGCCAGCCCTGACCATGGCACACTTCGAGGCAGCCGCTGCCATGCCCCTCGGAATCAGAGGATAGGTCCCCCACCCGCCCTGGAACGGGGCCCCAGCAGCCACACGCAGCCTCCGGCCTCCCCCCTCCGAAGGCTCCTGGGGGCTGCCTTCCACTGAGTGGGTTTTCCCTTCTGCAGTAACTGCCAAGCCAAAGCTGAATTGGAAAAGTTGCGAAATGATGGGCCGGGCACGGTGGCTCACGCCTGCAATCCCAGCACTTTGGTAGTCCGAGGCAGGCGAATCACGAGGTCAGGAGATCCGGACCATCCTGGCTAACACGGTGAAACCCCGTCTCTACTAACAAATACAAAAAAAAACTAGCCGGGCGAGGTGGCGGCGCCTGTAGTCCCAGCTACTCGGGAGGCTGAGGCAGGAGAATGGCGTAAACCCGGGAGGCGGAGCTTGCAGTGAGCCGAGATCACGCCACTGCACTCCAGCCCGGGCGACAAAGCGAGACTCCGCCTAAAAAAAAAAAAGGCTGCAAAACGAAAAGTTTTGGAATAGAGCACAAGGCATTTTAGCTCTGGGGATTTTTTTGAAAGGAAATTGTGTTTGGAGGGAGTTGTGCCTCACGCAGCTCCCTGGGTACCAGTTCTCAGGCGGCCAGGGGGTTCACAGCTCCCCACCCCAAAGCTGAGGAGTCACCTGGCCTCTGCAGGCGGACAGAAGGGCCTCTGCCATCGCGGATGCGCCCCCTGGCCTGGCCACGCCTTCCGGCCTCTCTACCCCAGGTCCGGGCGGGGAAGAGCCACCTCAACGGCAGGGCCCATCCATCCGCGAGAGGCCAGCGCCCCCGGCCGGTCCAGCCCAAGCCCGCCGCCTCCGCCCTGGGCTGCTCCCTGCGGGTCCCGCACCGCCCTCCTGCTATTAGGACTCCTTCCTCACCCCCTCCTCCACCCCGCGCGCCAGCCTCCCGCGCGCAGCGTGGGGATCTCGGCCAATAGCGGAGAGAGGGCGAGGCCCGTACGCGCGCCAGGTGCGTGGGCGACAGCAGCTCACGCCCCTCCTCCAGCCGCCAGGGCCCTGGCCCACAGCTGCCTGGCTGCAGTCAGAGGCGCGGCCCGAGAAAAGGAAGGGCGCCTTGACTCGCACCTATGTCCGGTTCGAACGTTCTGCTCAGTGGTGCGTGGAATGCGAGCGCGTCTTAAAATCGATGGCGCCTAGGAGTCCATGAAATACGGTACATGCTTCCGGCGAGGGACGCCCCTCCCTGCGGAAGCCCCGCCCTCACCCACGCATCCGCGCCCCGGGGATGCCCCGCCCTTCGTGGAGGCCCCGTCAGTCTCCGCGCAGGCGCGCTTGGGCCGCCGCTGGCTCCTCGCACGCGGCCATGGCGGACCCCGAGCTGCAGCTGGTTGAGCGGCGGATCCGCAGCTTCCCCGACTTCCCCACCCCGGGCGTGTTATTCAGGTGCAAGCGCAGGCCGCCCTCGTGGCGTCCCGACCTACGGGCCTGCGGATGGGAGAGCGTTGCCCGCGACCTCGGCACTGTCCGGCAAGCGGGGCGGGCAGGGCGGGAACCCTCATCCTTCGCCCCCCGGGGCCGCTGCCCTCCTTCGGCCCCGGCGTCACCAGGCCTGTCCTTGGGTCCAGGGACATCTCGCCCGTCCTGAAGGACCCCGCCTCCTTCCGCGCCGCCATCGGCCTCCTGGCGCGACACCTGAAGGCGACCCACGGGGGCCGCATCGACTACATCGCAGGCGAGTGCCGCGTGGCCGCATCCAGGGCGCCTCTGCCTCCGCGCGCGCCGAGGGTAGCACGTGGGCTCTGCGCGTCTGTTTGGGGGAGGGCTTTTGGGGTCCTTCGGGGGCGCCGGGACGGGCACCGTGCTTGGGGTCGCCCCCGAAGGGTTGTGAGGTTGGGCCCCCGAGGCCGCCGCGCTGTGCAGGCGCCCTGCCCGCAGGTTCCGGGTCCCCAGCCCAGGACAGGCGTGACCGAGTCGCCGGGTCAGTTGGTCTCCCTGGAGTGCCCAAGCTGAATCCACGGGGCCCAGCTGCCTCGCTTCTTGTCCCTTCTGCGAGCTGGTATTGAGCGCCTGCCACGAGCCAGGCCTTCCCTGGTGAAGATCACGGAATGCCCACCCAAGGAAGGGGGGCCTGGAGGCCTCCGGGAGAGCCCGAGAGGTGGCCCAGGGAGAACAGTGTTCTGGTGGTCTTGCCTCTCCTAGGCCTCTCCTCTCCTAGGCACTCCCTGCACACTGCCCTGAGGGAAGCGCCAGCTCTTGCTGGAGCCACAGCACTGCCAGAGCCCCCTTCTCACCTCCTGCAGGAAGCCCTCCCTGACTTCCTGCCAGGCTGGGGCAGGGTTTCCCTGAGCGTCCCCCAACCATCACAGCTCAGGTCACCTCGAGAGACTCCGTTTTTATACAGAAGCCCTGGGACAGAGCTGCCTTTGAGAGAGAGTTGTGGCCTGACAGGTTTCTACCAGCCTGGTTAAAGATGGGCTGCTGTAGGCCGGGTGCGGTGGCTCAAGCCTGTAATCCCAGCACTTTGGGAGGCCGAGACGGGCAGATCACGAGGTCAGGAGATCGAGACCATCCTGGCTAACACCGTGAAACCCCGTCTCTACTACCTCTACTACTGGGCGAGGTAGCGGGCGCCTGTAGTCCCAGCTACATGGGAGGCTGAGGCAGGAGAATGGCGTAAACCTGGGAGTCGGAGCTTGCAGTGAGCTGAGATCCGGCCACTGCACTCCAGCCCAGGTGACAGAGCAAGACTCCGTCTCAAAAAAAAAAAAAAAAAGAGAGAAAAATAAAAGATGGGCTGCTGAGCTCGGGGAGAGGGGCGGTGACTCCCCCAGGACCACAGCTAAAAAGTGGCCCCTTAAAAGACAGACCTAGGTCTGCACTCTGACCTGGAAGCAGCTCCTGGTAGGTGACAGCTGACATTCCTTAAATGGTGCACGTCACTGGCCTCTCAGCTGGGAGCCAACCATGTACCCCTTGCCACCGGCCAACCCTGGCCCCTGGAGACTCCCATGCTGCCAAGTCACTCCTGTCACTCACCCTGACAGGCCTAGACTCCCGAGGCTTCCTCTTTGGCCCCTCCCTGGCCCAGGAGCTTGGACTGGGCTGTGTGCTCATCCGAAAGCGGGGGAAGCTGCCAGGCCCCACTGTGTGGGCCTCCTATGCCCTGGAGTACGGGAAGGTAAGGGGGTTGGGGTGGCCAGAGGAAGGGGAGGGCCAGGCCACTGTGGCCACTCTCCGCCAGTTCTAAAGGCCCTCCCAGGTGTGTCAAGTGGAGCTGCTGTGGTTACAGTGCTCTTGGGAGCTCAGAGAGGGTGAGACACAGGCTGGGCTCACACAGCCAGGGAACAGCAAGGTGGGGTTGGCGTCAGGGCCTAGGGTGGCAGCTGCCAAGCTCTGCACACAAAGCTGTTTTCTGCGGGAGGCTGAGGACGACACACCACTTCCCACTCCAGGCTGAGCTGGAGATCCAGAAAGATGCCCTGGAGCCAGGACAGAAGGTGGTCGTCGTGGATGATCTGCTGGCCACTGGTGGTGAGGGTCTCCCCACAGCCAACTGCTGTGGCTTCAAGGGCCTGGTGGGAGTAGGGCAGGACCTCGCTGTGTGTGACGTGGGATGCAGCTTACTATTGTCCGGTGGCCAGGCCGACACCTTCCTCTCTCCCCATACCTTCCCCTCCCCAACCCAGGGGCTGGCCTGGAGCACCCGGTCTCTACAGCCCAGGCCAGCTGGGGACCTCACCCTCCCATCCCCAGGAACCATGCACGCCGCCTGTGAGCTGCTGGGCCACCTGCAGGCCGAGGTCCTAGAGTGCGTGAGCCTGGTGGAGCTAACCTCGCTTAAGGGCAGGGAGAAGCTGGCTCCTGTACCCTTCTTCTCTCTCCTGCAGTATGAGTGACTACAGGGCCTCCCAGCCCAACATCTGCAGCTGGAACCCAGGGACATTGCAGCCCTGGGCAACTGCAGTGACCTCTGTAGTCACCAGGGGCACCGTCTGCCCACAGGGAACACATCCCTTGCTTGGGTTCAGCACCTCTCCTGGGGCTGGAAGTGCCAAAGCCTGGGGCAAAGCTGTGCTTCAGCCACCCTGGGCCCAATTACACACGGAGAACGCAGTAAACAGCTTTGCCGTGAGAGCCGTCTCCTGTCATCCTGTTCCCCAGGGCAGGGAGCCCCAGAACACCACCAAACCAACTGGACTATGGGCACATGCTGCTCAGCATGGTGCCCAGCAGTCTGGCCCAGTTCTCACCTTAGGAGCCAGAACTGTCCAGGCACTGCAGAAAGATGCCGTGTGGGCCCATCTTCTAGGGCAGCACGTGAGGGCTCAGGGGTAACTAAGTCTGTCAATGCAGGTCCCACCTTGAGGCGGCCAATGCTACTGAAAGGGTTCTACTGCAGATCTAGTGGCTGTAAGCACGACTTTATTATAGTACTGAAGTCAGTGTGTGGGCAGGCCAGTCCCTTCTGGAGGCTCCAGGGATGTCCTGCCCAGCTTCTCCAGGCTGCCTGTGTCAGGGCAG